CAGCTCTGACAAACACGAGTGTCCATCATTTCCAAGCCGTATAGGGATTAAATGAACATAACATACCAATTCTTCCACAGTGGCAGGACCTTTTGATCTCAGGCGAAGTGTCTCCCTTCCAGTACCGATCCTTCCTGTTGATGACTTTCCAGCTTTTGGCCTGGGCTCCATGTCTATAAACATACAATGGAGGGGGAAACGTACATATATTAAGAACTCCAACCAGTTGCTATAAAAGCTAATGAGTTTCCATCACAAATTTCTGTACAGTTATTGAAGAGATTTGATAAAAGCTATGCCTTCTGATAAAATTTCCCAAAACAAAATAAATTCACCTGTCATCCATTATTCTCATATGAGAGTCTCTATGAGGTCTGCCTACAACAAGAAAAGGGAATACGTGAAATGTGCCGATCGAAAAGGCTGGAAGTTATAAGGAATAAAAAATAAAACAGTTGGTTTTATTGTAAGAGTAAAGAGGTATATGTGGCAGGAAAGCAGAGGTAGGTGTGTAGCTGGACTTCATTAAGGTCGTAAGGAAGGGAAGGAGTCATGTCTTGATAGAAGACAGAGATGGAGGCACTATTATTGGAGGACCTACCTTCCGCTGGATGCTTTCAATACAAAATCCCATGTAATTCTTGGCCAACCTATGAGGCAAGTTAGACCATCACCATCATTTTACAGAAAAGGAAACTGAACTCAGTAAGGATCAGAGCTGGTATTCAAACCCAGGCCTTGTGACCCCAAAGTCTCAACAACACTTCACCACCACACCTCTTGGAAGCACAAGGGATAAATTCAGAGGTAACGGACCTCAAGAGGCTGGGAACAGGTTCCAAGGAAGGAGTTCCCCTCGCAAGGCAGACCACAACAGAGAGTAAGAGTCCACGAGAAGCCGCTCCTTCCCTACGCTGGTTTTCTACGTGTGTGTTTTGGTTTGGTTTTGGTTTTCCAGCATACCAAGAGTCACCCCCACTCCCAGACAGTAACATAAATGAGTGGAAGGGTAGGGTGGGAACGGAGGATAACTCCCAGGATGTACCCTATCCAGGCCACCCCAGTAACTGGCTGCTCTGTGAGAAGGTAGGCCCTGCACAGCCAGATCTTCTGCTGGTTTGCAAAGAAGATGAACACTCAGTTTTGTGCCAACCTCCTGATTTTTAACTTTTGGCAACTAAATCAAACTTTTAAAAACGACATAATGTGCTCCGCAACAAGAGAAACCACCACAATGAGAAGACTGCATGCCGCAACGAAGAGCAGCCCCTGCTCGCCGCAACTGGAGAAAACCTGGGCACAGCGAGGACGACCAAACACAGCCAAAAATAAATTAATAATAAATTAAAAATAAAAACAACGTAATGGCAAAAATAACAAATTTGTGGATCAGATTCTAATCATAGGCCACCGATTTATAACTTCTGCAGGTATCCCGAGTCCTCTTGACTGAGGACTCTGGCAGCAGTTTGGGGCAAGGATGGAGGTTGGTGTGAGGAGGTGCAGCACCAAGCCTGGGAGATAACTGAGCTCCAATGCAGAGTCACAGGGCAGGCCGCAGTGTACGAGCAGGTGGTGAGGTCCATACAAAGCTCTCAAAACATGGATGTCAACTGGCCTGCACAAACACATCCTTCCTTAGAATCTAGGATAATTCCCATCTTCAGCAAGTCCTGTTTCACTATTGGGGATCTATTCCAAGGTGACTAAGGATTTTACATGTTAATTTTAACCTGCATGTCAGGACAGAGCCACCAAAACATAAAACACATAAGTCTTCCTCTGAGAGTGAAATTATTCAAAATCATCATGCAATAAATAGGGTAGTTCCCCTAAGCCAAAACCTCTAAATGGTGGCTGACAGTGCTCATGTTGACCATGTTGACCAGAGAGATGCTCAGGAGACCAGAACTGTGTCAGCAAGTCTGCAGCATTTCCCTTGCCGGTCACACTGTGTCCCGTCCGAGGGAAGAACAGATTAACAGGAGATGCTCACTCGGCACAGGATTTCCAAAAGAATGCCCAACGAAAAAGATGAGGTCAGTCTGTCACCAGCACTGTCCAGGATTCTATACTACCCAGTTTGGAGTCATGTACAGACCTACAGTGGTCAAGACAGCCTCACCTTAACGATGCTAACCTCCAAGATAAACAACCTTACACCCGCACTCCCCCTATCACACACTCTACCCACCGCAATTTCACCAAGCAACCTGCTCTGTATAATTTGTCTTCCCGTATAAATTTCCTACAGGGTGGCAAATGAAGCACTCAGCTACCACATGTCTTTGGTTTACAACTACATATACATTTCTAACTGTAAAGTAATACACTGGCATTCTGACTTAACAACGAGTCTTTCGTAAGTTTGGTAAGCAAGATATAACCCTGGAAAATTGTACAAGTTCTGGATACACTGAAGAAATTAAAGGTTCCTGGGATGTACGAAGCTAAGGACCCAGACTCTGGAACGTGGCAACTTCACAGAGGGATTGTCATCCAGGCTTGAGAAGTCGGCGAGCCGCCCTAGATGATGTCTCTGCTTACCTGGCTCTTACCTGCAACACCAGTAGCTAAAAGGGAAAATGAAATGTAGAACAGAAGTTTTTTTACTTTTGGCTTTTCTTTTTTAATTTTTAATTCATTTATATTTTTAATTCGTTAATTAATTTATTTTTGGCTGCGTTGGGTCTTCGTTGCTGCGTGCGGGCTTTCTCTAGTTGCGGGGTGCATGCTTCGCATCGTGGTGGCTTCTCTTGTTGTGGAGCACGGGCTCTAGGCACGCGGACTTCAGTAGTTGTGGCGCGTGGGCTTCAGTAGTTGTGGCACGTGGGCTCTAGAGCGCAGGCTTAGTTGCTCCATGGCACATGGGATCTTTCTGGACCAGGGCTCGAACCCGTGTTCCCTGCATTAGCAGGCGGATTCTTAACCACTGCGCCACCAGGGAAGCCCCTAGGCTTTATTTTTTCAAGCGGTTTTAAGTTCATAACAAATTGAGAAGACAGAGCTCTCCCATACACCTCTTGCCTCCACATATGCATCACCTCCCGCATGATCAATACTCCTCACCACAGGGCTACATTCGTTATAATCAATGAACCTACATGGACACATCATATCACCTAAAGTTCATAGTTATGTTAGGGTTCACTCCTGGTGTTGTACATTCTGTGGGTTTGGAAGAATGAATAATGACATGTATCCACCATCAGAGTATCATTCAGAGTAGTTTCATTGCCCTAAACACCCTCTGTGCTCTGCTTGTGCACCCCAGATTTTTTTTTTTAAATCATTATATGTTTGTCATCTTCTCCTCGAAAGTGTTATCTCAAAATTAACCACTTGGTGGCACCAAAACAAAAGTTAAAATTTCACTTCTGGCTTAGACCAGCCTCCAGAAAGGCAGTTCTTGTGGCTAAAGAAATAGAAGCCATGTTTCTCCACAATCTTGATTCAGGGAAGTAAATCAACCAGTTTATACATGAAAACAGGCAGGATGGCCCTGTTCAGCCTCAGAGGGAAAAAAATGTTTTGCTTTAATGTTTGCAAAGGTTGCTAGTCTGGCCTACTTTTAGGGTGCTGGCCAGTCTAAGCTTGTCAAATCAACCAGGCCAAGCCCTAGATCAGTCACTTCAACTTCTCATGAACGGGTTTGCATGAGGCCTCTCTTGGGGCTGAATGATGAGAGGGATGCAGTTCACACAGGAGATGCTGGTAATCGGCCTGCAGCTCGAAGGATTCACTAGACTCAGGGCTCCCCTCCTGTGTCATTTAGGGCACAGGACACTCACAGCTCAGGGGTACACAGCTGCTCCCACAGCTGAGTGGGATGTCACCAAGAAGCAGTCGCCTTAGTTCCAAACCCTTTTGGGGCAACTGTATCTGTTACTCTAATTACATAATTGAATTTAAAACTACGTGAGCTGATGAAATAAGTGTGAAACACAGAGTTATTATTGCTAGGAAAACTAGGTTAACTGCTTTGGAAAGACTCCATAAGGGCGAGTTGCAAAAAAAAAAAAAAGGTGTGGGCAAAATGATGCTAGGAGATTAGGAAAAATATCTTTAAACATCCAGCATTTCACATATCTGGCTTTTAGATATCAAACAGAAACCATAGATGTGCGTTCAGGTTCTGATTACTAAAGCAAGACTTCATAGAACTCCAATTTGTGTCCTCTACTCAAAGAGCTTTTTACATCTAAAGAGTTGTAAAAGAATGCATATTTATATGTTTTAAAATAAAATATTTATATCCCTTGTGTCATTCTTTATGATACCATTTTAACTGGCATTTTCAATAAACAGACCAACCCCCAGTCCCTGCTACATCGTGAAGGTCAGGGGAGAGATGGGGAAATGGAGAAGACAGCAAGATGTCTGTCTCTAGCCCCACCCTGAGCCCCAGGGGAAGAAGAGAGCTGACAGCGGCCAAGGCCCTATCTTCAGGTGGAACACATGCAAGTGGTTTAGATCCCCATCGGACACAGGGTGACAGTGAGAAGGGCAGGCATTCTCCTGCTTCTGCACAGAACAAGATCTTGTTCTGGTCCCACAAGGGCCTGAGTTGGCCTGGAGTACAATTCATAGCAGGGGCAGAGCCATGATTTCCATGAGAGGGGGGCACATATGGACACCTCTGTGCCCAGCAAGAGATAGACTTCAGAATCAGAGAACTTGAGTTAAAACCCAGCTCCACCATTTACAAATTGTGAGAACTTAAGGAATAAGTCCTTATCTGTACAAGAACACTACTGAAACCAAGCGAGGCCCTGTGGGACTCCCAAGCATGGAGGCTCTTTTGTCCCCTGTTTCTTGTGGGCAAGGCTCCAGCCTCCAAGACCTTCCCTGAGTTCCAAAGGGCAGATTCCAACAGTTGTTAATCAAGGGAGAAGCAGCCATGAAACCACCTGAGGCCAGATTAAAGGGACCAGAGAAGCTCATCAAGATAGATGACCGGGCTTCCCTGGTGGCGCAGTGGTTGAGAGTCCGCCTGCCAATGCAGGGGACACAGGTTCGTGCCCCC